TAACAAAGCCCATTAGTGCAACACTTAAAGCCTGTCTGAAGAAACATTTCTGAGGAAGATCAAGTGTAAAACGGGAGGAACAGAAGGGAGCATAATGGTACAAAAAGGGACAGACATCTATGCAATGACTTCACATGCACATGAATTTAGAGAAGGGGTGGGAGCTGGCAGGGCACCACTGGCTGGGAAGGAGCAATGCCAAAGGTCTGCACTCTCCCCCGCGTTCAGGGAGTCTGGCAGATGTTATTCCCCTTCTTCTCCCTTGAGCTCCAAGCAGTTACTTGCTGATGTCTCAGATGATGGCATCAGCAAGCTGGAAACATGACTCACTGAGAGTGATGGTGAGGAAAGTCCCCAGCCACGGAGCCAGCTGAGTCACAGGGAGACACTGTAGGTCCCAAGAGGAGGAAGAAAGCCCAACCAAGGAAAGGCCAACCCAAGAAAACACAGGGCAAGGATGCACGACAGGAACACAGGGGACAAGAGGCACTGCTGCCACCCAGCTTTTTGCAGCAGCTCCAGTTCTGCCCTGGGCTTGGTGCCTACTTGGCTCCCAGACATCTCAAAGGCATTTGAGTGGCTACAGGTCAGCATCACCCACCAGGGCATTGCTGCTCACACTGGTATGCCCCACATCAGCTGATATGTTCCTGCCAGAGCCCTGAGCACCACCTGCCCACAGGACACTTGCCCAGAGCAGAAGTGCTCAGAGAGGCAGGAGGTGTGGGGAAGACCACACACCAGCATGCATCTCTGGCTCATCAGCTTTCCCAAACCATGCTCCTCCATCCGGGTTATGGTTTCTTTCATCCTCGCGGGCTCCACAACCAAGCTCACCAACCAACTAGGAAACTCCTGCTCTTTCTCAGGCTGGACCCCCTGCCATCAAGCTCTCCTCCCCACCATGGTTTGGAGCCTGGCCACAAGAGACATGCTGCTGCCCTAAGCCTGGGAGAGAACTCTTAGCTAGGTCATTGCTGGAAGTCAAAAAGCAATGAGTTTATCATGACTTATTCACAAAGCCAGCTACCAGGGAAAG